TTAATTATACTGTGATGCAACTAAATATCCCACGTGAGAATTATGCTCTTTTTCCATATCTACATTAACATACATATACAGCCATATAGAAGTCATGGCTTTAGATACAAACCACATACACACAGTGAGTGAGTGAGAGAGAAAGAGAGAGAAAAGAGAGAGAGAGAGAGAGAGAGAGAGAGGGAGAGGGAGAGAAGGAGAAACATACACGCACCAGGATGACAGATCTTTTTAATGCCAAGGGCACTACAGAGAGAAAAAAAAAATTCTCAAATAAGCTATAAAGAACGAGAGAAAGGAGAGAGGAGCTACACAGCAGAGACAATTCATTCTTCCGAACTTCAGGAAATGCAAACATTCCAAGGACTCTCAGACAAGAACGAAGTGTGGAGCCTGGATAAGATAAAAACTAGAAGAGATTATTTAGCTTCTCAGGCTGTAAACATTGCTTCTATAGGCAAATACTGAGGGCTGAATTTGAGGTTGGAGATGAAGCCAGTACGACTGTAGTCCAAACTGTATTGTTGTTTTAAGTAGTATAAAGAAAATGTCTGGGTGTTTTTTCCAGTTTGTGCTAAAGATCTGAAAATAATAAAACATTTGTCTATTAAAACAAGAAACTCTTAGAATAAAAGTACCCTACGAGTCATTCTGATTGACCAGACTGGGAAAACAAAACAAAAACAATGACCCAAAAAAACTCATTTAGCCAGGTACTTCAAACAATGCATAAATAATTTTTACTCAGTACCCTACGACAGGAGATCAGGCTGGACTCAATAGGTATTTGCTGAAACCATGACCCTGGAAAGAGTGAAAGATGTGGCCCTCTATAGCAAGACATTCAGCAGATGGGTCTTCACTATCCAACTATCCAATTATCCGCACCCACTGAGTTGCAAACGTCATTATAATAAGAAATGTTTACTGATGAACGAACTTCCATAAAATTAGTACTTGCCCAAATATCTCTCTCTCTTCAATATTAGCAGCTCTCTCTGCCCATCATGACTAATCCCTTTGGTCAGTCTCTTAGTGAATGTTGATGATATAAATATTAGCCAGTGCAATGCAAATGCAAAACTAACTGCAACTGCAATTCTCGAAAAAGATGGACTTCCTGAAGCTGATAAAAGGGATATCAGAGAACCATTTAAATCACATGCAAATTCATTTAACATTCGAAAATCTGGCAGAGTCAGGACTTTTACAATGAAGAGAAAAATAACACAACAGTGATGCACTCTTTATAGTCAAGCTGTAAAAGTCAAATAAAGGAATTTTTATCATGCTGTCATATTTTATAAGAAAAACAAAACCAAAACAAAGTTAATGTAACTCATTCTTTGTTGAAAAATTTGTACATAGTTATAATATAATCTAAACATTGTTAAATAAAATTTTTCTTTAAAAACTATCTTCATAAATTTTAGTTTCATTTTCCCAGATAGGTCCTCATCAAAAGTTTTTTTCTTATTTATAATAGAATTTAGGTAGTGGTTTCAGGGAGATGCACATTAAATAGCTATTTTCATTGTCAGCTGATCAATTCTTTGATCAATTCAGTATTTGATGAATTGAGTATCTGCCTAACAACATTACTAGTTTATTATCATAAAAGGTTATAGCAAGGGCATCTCTCAAAACATGCCTGGCCAGCAAGGGCAGGTTGCAGTTTACAGCAGCACAAACCTATCAGTGAAGGATTATCTAAAAACATAAGCCTTGTAGACTTCACAGGTGTATGTTATTGTCCTATATCCCGATGCAGCCTGCTCCTTAGATAGTTCCGTAAGCTCATCCTTGGTTAGGGGAGCACTGAGTATTTGAGATGGAAAGAAACTGGCTGGTTCCTTGATTAAATCGCTGACCTGAGCCAACAAGTTAAAACTTTTGGAACTAGCCTTCCTTGAGACATCTTGTTATATGAGATAGTAACTTGTTTTTCTATGTAATCATTTTTATTTGGGGTTTCTGCTATTACTTGCAGCTAAAAGCATCCTTACTTACACACATATCGTACATATTTCGAAGGTACAAAGCCTTAAAGAAAATCACAACTTAGCTGTAGAAAGAAAACTAATATATTTGAAAAAAATCAAGACTGTTTTTGCTTAATATAAAATGTACACTATTTTTAGACATACTATGAGTTTTAAGAAGAATATGCTCCAATAGACATAAAAATAAAGTATTTAAATAATAAAGCATTTAAGACTTATATTAAAGCTAAGAATGCCTCGTGGGAATACCATGAGTTGGAACATTTAAGAGTTAAAAAAGATCTTGGAAATTTCCTGGAAAAGAAAAGTAAAGAATTAAATATAACATCAAAGACTTTAGCTGAGTCTTTGACGTTATATTTAAGTCAAATAAAACAAAAAGGCATTACAAAAAACAAAACAATAATGTCACTGACAAAATTATTACAGTAAAATGGAAGCTACCATGGGCAGCTTAAAACAACTGAGGATGTCAAAGATGAGAAAATAAGGAAATAGGGCCAAAGGTATAGCACTCAGATTCTAGGTGTGGATCAAGGTGCTAGGAGGAAATTCAAGTAGTTACACAGCATCAATAAATAAATAAAACAGAGCAGCACAAGTTGCAAGGGTAGAAAGCCATCTATTTCATGACCCCTTGAAACCCCACTTCTAGGTTGTGGGAACATGAGCTTCCTTCTGTTACGGAAGCAAAGGCTTTAAGTAAGGAGCCTTAGAACAGATACAGCTCAAGGAGCGCATCTTAGAACAGATACACTCATGGATTGCACTGAGTTTGAAAAACACTTTCACATACATTACCTCATTTTATTTCTATCACATTCTTCAGCCAGGAAAGAAATATTATTAATCCCATTTTAGAGATGAAATAAAGGCCCAAATTTAGTAGACTGTTTTAAATCGCATTATAAGCTGAAACAAACATTATAAACTGAAACTTATCAGAGTTTTAAGAATATGCTCAAGTAATCAAAAAAACTTTTTTTTCAAAATTACAATGATTCATTTACTCTCAAAGGTGTCTTTTAAAAATCAAGTCAGGCACAGTGGCTCACACCTGTAACCCCAGCACTTTGCAAGTCCAAGGGGGGTGCATCATGAGGTCAGGAGATTGAGACCATCCTGGCTAACATCGTGAAACCCCGTCTCTACTGAAAATGCATTAGCCAGGTGTGGTGGCACACGCCTGTAATTCCGGCTACTCAGCAGGCTGAGGCAGGAGAATCACTTGAACTGGGGAGGCAGAGGTTGCAGTGAACTGAGATCATGCCATTGCACTCCAGCCTGGGCAAAAGAGCTAGACCTTGTCTCAAAAAAAAAAAAAAAATCTGCTGTTCCTGTCATAACTTATGCACACTTTCCAGCCATTACAAAGATGGCTTTAACCAAAAGTCATTCAAATTGGCAGCTGAAAATTATAGAGACACCAAATGGAGATAAGGAATGCAGCAGATTTTCAGTTCAACTAAAGGGCAAATTTTCCCTTCTTTAGTATTTCTATTTAAAAACTGTGAAATGATCTTCTAGGGCACTAGGGGGAGGGGGGATACTGAGTCCACATTTCTCATATTTCCCTGGGAAGGGAGGGAACTTCCCTAGGAATAAAAAGTGCAAAGCACACTCCTAGTTTTCTTCCCAACCCTTCACTTACAACTCTCCAGAAAAGAAGGCATACCTTTGTTTATTGGTTACTCTGAAGCCAAGCTCACTTGGCTCAGCCCTTTCCTCTCGTTTTCAGAGCCAGCTGGTTTGCAGGAGCTAACACATGTCCTGTTAGAGGAGCTCCTTCACAGGCACAGCCTCTGCTTCTATGGGGAAGGTCTGCAGTTCTCCAGCTATGCCAGTGGCAAGGTCAGCATGTCTCTTTAATTCAGGGGTGAAGTATTAACAAGTTCACTGGCTACAGATCTAAACTCATGTTCTGCCATCAGTTTTCTCAGTAGTAAAGTTAACACTCTAGTCTCCAATTATCTTTTGTCTCATTTCTCAGTTGGTTACACAGTTAGGAGGAAAAAGTGAAGATGTCCTTTACTAGTCCCTAAAGCTACAAGCAAGGATAGGTGACAAAAATAAAAAAGAAACCAGAGAGAGAAGAGTGCTTTTTCCTCCCTGATCTCGTTATTTTTGAAAGCACCTGTATTTAGTACCTATACACATAGTTAATAAGACGGTTTTGTCATCGCAAACAGCACTAATTATCAAGTCATAGTGTCAACATGATTATACGAGCTCTGGAAAGGTTAAGAAGCCAAAGCACTGAAGATCTAATGATGGAATTTATACAAATATGAAAAAACAAAAATGAATAGTTTTTGCCTCCAGGAACAAAATCAGAATTTGACACAGCCTCTAGTTAGATTAGATGACCTCATATTTTAAGGACTCGTCTAGATTTAAAATTCTGATTTCAATCCAAAAATCTGTCTGTAGGTTGCATGGATCACTTCAAATCACATGTAATATTTTCTTTTAGTGGCTCAAGCAAAGTGCAGCTACAGAAAAAAATTAATGAATAAACATGAGTCTTTTTTTCTTCATCTATAAAAATGAAGATATTACCCTCTACTGCTCAGAGTTTTTGAAGGGACTGAATCAGGTAATACATGGAAAAAGTTCATCAAAATTCAGAACACAGAATTTTGTTTCCCTTTTCTATGGCCTGCAGCTACTATCTTTTGCCACTAGATGGCAATGCTGCACCAGTAGGTCAAAAAAACAGGCCAAATTGCAGCAAGGAGACTCTAGATGTTAGTTAACTGCTAAAAGTTGGTGTAAAAAATTAAATTTCAAGTTGTTTCCTGGCATCTGATGAGATGACAGATAAAACTTTGGACATTTAAAAGAAGTGGACACTAAAAAGAAACCAAAGTGTTAATGGTGCCCTTATTTTTCATTTTTAAATCTTAATTCATTTTCATTAAGAATGCAGATAATCTTTGAAAAGGGCATTGTCCAAGGTAAGATGCATGATAATAACTAATAAAAACAAACATTTACCTCTGACCCCAAACTGAGAGAAATGATCTCATCCTCAAAAGCAGAATGCGTGTCAATATGAGCGGGAATTCCTGAGATGGAAAACAGGACAACACGTCACTTCATTTTTCCTTTTAGTAGATTTAAGATGGCTGTAAGCATAGACTTATGCTATTGTGGTGAAAACACTGCTTGATAATCAGGAAGGTACTATAATTTTGCTTAAAAGGAAACATTTAGAGTGAATGTGACTAGAATATATTAAAATAAATACAAACTAAAAATACCTTAAGTGGAAGTGCCATTGGGGTTTGATCGAAAATCAAGGCTCAGGAGCCACTGATTAACTAGGACACTTAACACAATTCTAGCCCAAGAGAAAAATGTAAAACACAAATACAAAAGTCATTTTTACCCTCGAACACTGGGTTCCCAACTACTTGCAGAACAAAAGCAATAACCAGGTATAAAGACTAGGCATATCAATAATTACGATATGGCCTTCTCCACTGATCCATTAATTTACATTATTGAGCACCTCTTAAGTTAAAGAAATGTTGCCACACAGTGAGGGTATACAAAGCAAGTAAGAGGGTCCCTGTTTTCAAAGAGCTTACAAACCAATGGAAAGACAGCTAGGCTAGAAAGGTAAAGAAGAAATGCCTTAGCTGACTAGTTAATCTGGGGTCAAGCTCACTTGGCTCAGCCCTTCCCTCTCATTTTCAGAGCTAGCTGGTTTCTAGGAGCTAACACGTGCTCCTTCACGTTTCATCCTATAGGAGCAGCCTCTGCCTCTTTAAGAGTGGCCCCAGCCTCTGCACTCTGCAGGATCGGCCTCTGCCTCAGCTCCAGTTGTCTTGCTGTGCCAGAGACCAGGTCAGCATGTCTCTCTAATTCAGAGGTGTAGTATTCACAAATCCACTTGGCTACAAATCTAAAGCCATCAGTCTACATTGTAATAAACATAGAAAATAAAACAAAACTCTATAATAAAACCCTTAAATTAAAGAGGTCATTAAGTGTGGGGCCCTAATCTTTTAAGTAGAGGCTCTCTCTCTCTCTCCATGCACATGCACACACACACAGAAAAAGACATGTGCGGACACTGAGAGAAGGTGGCCAATGACAAGCCAGGAAGGGAGCCATCACCAGGAACCCAATCCACCAGCACCTTGATCTTGGACTTCCCAGCCTCTATACTGTGAAAAAATTAATTTCTGTTGTATTTTTTTTTTCTCTCTTTTCTTCATATGAGCTATGGCTTTGTTGTATTTTTTTAAATTTCTGTTGTTTAGCCAAAAAAAGAAAAAAATAAAATGCTTAAAATCATTTGATTACTATAAATATCAGATGAAGATGCTGCCAACAAGTATAAGAAATTAATAACTTAAAGATTTTTCACCAGAATGTCATCCTGCAATTGTCTCCCATGTTCTCAAACACAGAAAGAAGAGAAAGATCATCCAACCAATTAGCCTTCTTCTATCTATAAATTATTTGGTTTCTTCCATTACACATCTCCTGTGTTTTTCAGACCAATGTCTTATCTCTCTAAAGGAAACGCTGAGAGGGAAACAAACCAAAAAAATCCCAAACAGTGATTTGTGTCAGTGTGTTTACACTTTGAAATGCAAGTTCTTCAAGGGATTAAAGTGTAGGTTTGCAAGGATTGAAATCAACACAAGTAACCAACATAAGCAAGGCATGAGAGAGTTAATTTGAGCTTAAAAATAATATATTTGCTCTTAGAGAATTACATCATCTACTCAGTTCCGAAATATATGACTACAATTTTTAAACAAGAACTACTCACCGTGACCAGGTTCATACTGATTTATGGTCATTTGATCAGGTTTATGTTTAATGTAACCTTCCCTCAACCATTTCTCCAAAAATCTATCACAAATGTCAGGAAGACCTAAAATGAGTAATCATAAAGACAAAACATTAAAATATTTGTTTTGCTTGTTTTACTCAAGAATTTTAAAAGTCACTGTTTAAAAATCACTGAGCTTTTAATTTAGTAATTATTAATTAATAATTATTAATATAATAAACTACAAGTAAAGCAAAATTAAAAAACAGGAATCTTTTAAAGTTATTTCATTGATTTTTTTTCAGATAAAAAGTTTAAAAGAACAATAACAACAGTTTTGGTATTTTGTAAAATAGCAATAAAATTATAAAAAATATACTATATATTGAAATTGTCCACTTTCTTTATTATTTTAAATTATACCATTTATTTTAAATATAATTATTTTAAATTATTTCCCTTAAAAAAACAAACTTTCCAAAGTGGAACTAACTTACTTTTATTAACGTCATAAAAGTTGTTTCACGATGGAAGAAAAGCCTTAAGTAAGTCCAAAGTCATTTAAAAAAAAACAGATAAATTTAACTCCAACAAATAATTATAGCAATTATATCAGAGGATTAAAAGCCAGAATATACAGTAAATTCTTAATCAATTAGACACTTCATTGGAAAAAAAAAAAAAACTGGCAAAGGATATAAAAAGGAATTCATAGTAAAGGAAATACAAATGACCAACCTTACCAGTAATCAAGAAATTACAAATTTAGAAGCTTTACAACACCACAAGTTGTTAGGGGCAGGGGGCAATGGGTACACATTTGGTGAGAATATGCTGGTACAGCTGTTTTGGGAGGCAATTTGTCAGTATGTATTAACATTTTTTAGCAAACATAAACTTCAACATCACAATTCTACTTCTTAGTAGTCTCCCTTAAGAAACTCTTACACAGTGTACAAAGAGGCATGTACAGAGATATTCACTACAGCATTACTTACGAAAGCTAAAAAACAGAAACAACCTACAGGCCCATCAATAGGGAACTATTTGAATAAGCTATTACGGATCATTCAGTAAAATGAAAATCTGTATAAGATTTTCAAGACATATAGTGGAGGAAAAGAACAAGCTGGGTTGAAATATGTAATACATGGAATATAAAATATATGCAATGCCATACAATACTACATATGTCAACAACTGGGTACTTTTATTGTTGTCTAAATTTTAATCTAAACTCATTTTCCATTTTTAAATGGAAAAGTATATAATAAACTGTTAGTAGTATGTACTTCTGAGAAGAAGCATGGGAATAAGGATAACAATGATGAACTTCAGCTCTATCCAGTTTGAAATTTTTTTACAACAAAACTATACAGTTTATCTAATTAAACCGTTTTAAATCCATTGTTCTGAAAGTTTATCTACAAATGACAAATGAAACATAATCCCCCAACTATAATATTCTATTAATAGATTAAATTTTTTGAGCCAGAATTTATTATGTATTAGCAATTACTTACCCCCAGATAATGGCTTATCTTTATCTACACTGTTGTTCTCATAGTGGAACTCATAACCAAAATGCTTTACTCTTCTGTGCTTTAAGGATTTTTGAGCTGTGTGAAGAGAATAAAGTAAACAATTAAGAAGGAAAAGAATTGCATTCCTTTGCATATTTCAGTCAACTTTTTGAGTAAGGATTAGTTAAGTAACGGCAATTTCTGTTAATTGCTAAATTATGGCCTTTAACAAAATTAGCCATTCTGCCTTATATTCGTTGTTATTTCAAGTCTAAAATTGTAACAAACTCTTCAAGAGCGTCGCCCAATCAATCTGAAAACTAAACATGTACACTATCATTCACAACACTGCCAATGAGCTGGAAAGAGTCAGAAAAACTCCAATTTGCAAAGATCTCCAGGAAGCTCTCACTACATCATAATAGTTTGGTACTGAACCAGTAGTTCCTCAAGGGAAATTTGCCTTAGGGTGGGAAGGAATGAATAAAATAAGTGAAAAGGCTTATAAAAGCTATATAAATGTTGGGTAATAAATATTAATCGATTTGGAGTTTAAATTTGATCACTATCTAAATGTTATTCATTATTAATGTTCCTCAGAGCTGTCGATATGACTTGCCTAACATTGGATCCAGGCTGGTTTCAGTGATTTTGAGGAAGTATTAATAAACCAAGAAAGAGAAAAAGAAGAGTTTCGCAGAAAATTTTAAATATCAGATTTTGAAAGTTTTACTTACAATTTTGATTGTCTGTATCTTCTGTCCAATCAACACTTTCTAAAAGCATTTTCTCATCCTCAGAAGAAATTATTTCTTCTACTACCATGAGTCCTGGAGGTAAGGCTTGAGGCCTCAACTCCTTCCATTGTGCTATGGGAAACCAAATTTAAATAGTCACATGCAAAAAAGTTCCTATATACAAATGATTCTGCCCAATAACTCTTTATCAGTTCACAAAACTTTGAATACTCATTTTTGGAAATAAGATTGCTGAAAGGCACACAACATATCAAAAGTGCAGAAACAAAGACCAAGATCAGTGGTGGTACATTTTGTCCACTGCAATTAACAACAGCAAACAGAACAGTATTTATTTAAGTATTTGGTGTGAACATGATTAAGTCACTTTTAAAATCTCACTAAGAGACAAGGTTTCTCATAGTAGCCACAGTATGCACCTCCATTAATAAGTCAGATAGTCTAAATAATGAATACAATAATTTAAATGCTCATTTTTGCTCTTAGGCTCTTGATACTAGCTATGGTCACGCAACAGAAACAAATGTAAAATAAAATACAACTTTCTAAAAAAAAATACAAAGTATCATTTATGAAGAATTACTTAGCAGGTATTAAAATAATTTAAGTTCTGTGTCCTTCAAAGTTTTAGATAGGTATAGCACTAGAAGGAAAAGAAAAAATAATCTGCTATTAGACAAAGGTAATAGTGTATTCACATTTATTGTTAGGGATCTGATCATTGATTTTATACACATAATTTCTGAAGCTTTTCTACCGGGCAGTTTTCTGCCAGGCAGATTAAATCTTTGAATTATTTAATTCACAAAAATAGCAAATATTTACTAGATTCTATTAATAACATTTCAGAAACATGAATAGTAAATCATTTGCTAAATACATACCACTGCCTACTATGTGCCAGACAGTATATTATTTATTCAAATTACATAAGGAAAACTTTGGAAAGAATTCCTTAAAGACAAGTAATTTACGGTGTATGTAATTTGGATTTAGTTTCTGAAATATGTTTTATTTAAAAGAATTAAAAATGTCTCTTCTATTTGTTATTCAGTGCTACCTGGTAGCAGATATCTAAACAAGCATTAAACTATTTGTGACACAATTCTGTTGTCCTTTAGAAATGATTTTCAAGGTTATAAATGTGATTGCCAGAGTCTTAAAAGTACATATGGATCTAATTAAGAATTTCAAATAAAGAACAATCCAAAACTTACTTTGTGCAATTTCTTACTGAGTATTCACCATGGAGAACGAGGGTAAACCCAATGACTATTTTCTGATCAAAACTTACTCCTTAGCCATTCGGTTTTTAAAAACTGACAAGAAACATGTAAAATATGAGGATAATCTACTTTACAAAATATGTAAAGCTTAAGTCAGATTTAAAATCTAAACACATATGAGCACTGAGAAATACAATTTCTAAAATATATCTTTAAAAGAGTCTGTAAAAGTTTTCAAGTCTCATTTTACAAAAACAGAAATTTGAGCAGATTAGTCACCTGCTCACTCCTAGGATATCTAAAACAGGGCTCTTTTATTGCCTAAATAGGTGGCAAATGAATATATGATTAGATGTCTAAATCAAAGTTCGTCTCAATACATCTCATTTCCATGGGGCAGAGGTAATCATTCCTGTACAATTCTGTAAATCAGCATATAAAGCCATACTTTAATTAATTAAATTATTCAGTTCCTCAATCACACTATCCAGTGACTATTGTACTGGACAGCACAGACAGGAACATTTTTACCATCAAGGAAAGTTCCACTGGACAGCAGTACCAGAAAGTTTTAGGACTCTTTGGTAGCTACAGGTGCTCTGCTATAAATATGAAGATTGGCACAAGATCATTTGGATCACAATTCATTCTTAAGTGATAAATTCAAAGCTCCTCAGTAGACATATCAAATAAACAGGTAATCCGAACCCTCATTATTAAACATTGAAAAACACAAATTAGGCAGGAGGGCTCCAAAATAAGCCATGTGCCTAACAAATATATTGTTGATTGGTGGGACCAGCTCAGTAAAGGCAGGTTGTATCTTATTCACGTCTATACTGCCAACTACTTGTCCCATGCCTGGCACAAATAGCTGCTTAAAGAATATTTGTTAAAGTAAAAGGGGCTGCTAACCTGCATCCTCATTTTGTTTCACAATAACTGGACCTCTCAACTTAAATCTATGAAAACACACAAAAGAACCATTTTTTAAAAGATAATTGTATACCTTTTTCCACAAAATTCATATACAGAATGATCTTTTGCCCTAAATCATCCACTACTTCTTTTCCATTGAGGGTAACATAGGCTCTCTTAGATTCTTCTGTAGTTTTGTATCTTGCAAATGAGTAGGGCTTGTTAGGCGGCATTAAGAGAGCATCCACCAGTCCACATTTCTCTAAAACCGGGAGCAGCTGGTTTCTACTCATACCATTACCCAAACCACCATTGGCGACAACGAGGCTCTTAAAAAAAAACAAAGAAACAAAAAGAAAGTAACATGAGCAACTGATATCAACCCATTGATTTTAAAATAAGATTATTTTTTAAATAAGATTTCTACAAAGATATAATTAAGAAAAAAAAAGGTTTCATTGTAGAGGTTGTTTGGTTTGCCAATTTCATACAAAGCATGTAAACCAATTCACCAAAAATTTGCGGAATAAAAAGGACTCCTATATTGTAAATAATATTGATTTTTAAATAGCCTATTTCACAAAATATTCATTTCTAAATGACCATAAATGCAAAGTAAAACACAACTATTATTCAGAAATATAAATTTAGCATAATGAAAGAGAAGGAAAAGAAGAGAATGCATAGTTAAATAACACTTGCTTTTTGCAAAACTGTTCTATATGCTTTTATCTACTTAATCCTCATTAACATAATCTTCACGAAGTAGTGAATTTATTTGGGTAATATCAGCCCCATCTCATAGAAGAATGTCTGACAAATTAGGTTAAGGTGGCAATTAAGGGTGGGTTTAAACCTATTTCTGGGCCGGGTGTGGTGGCTCACGGCTGTAATCCCAGACCACCTGAGGTCAGGAGTTTGAGACCAGACTGGCCAACATGGTGAAACCCTATCTCTACTAAAAAATCAAAAAAATTAGCTGGGCATGGTCGCAGGCGCACTTGGTAGGCTGAGGCAGGAGAATCGCTTGAACTCGGGAGGTTGTAGTGAGCCGAGGTCACGCCATTGCACTCTAGCCTGGGCAAAAAGAGCAAATCTCTGTCTCAAAAAAAAAAAAAAAAAAAAAAAACCTATTTCTGCCAGTTTCCAGAATCCACACTTTTAATATACAATGTTTACTAAAAATTAAAAGTAAACGTACTATTAGCTCAAAGAAAAATCAATTATAGGTTCTATTGAGCATAATTAGGAAAAAATTTTCCACTAAGGAAATTCAATCTAAGTAATTCAGTCAGTTCACAATGAAAATTTTTCCTTTGTAAGTTTCACACTTACTTCCTGCTATTTGTAGACTCCTGTGCTAAACTTTATTCAAGGATATTTGGCAGAGATGAATGGGGAGTCTCTTATAGTATTCTGATGTTCATGGCCTAGCACCTTTATAGTCTTTATACTTAAAAACTATTCTATACAGTGTAAAGATTTTTAATGTATGATCTATGACTTCTAAAAACATTTCAATATAACAAAAGAAAGCCATAAATGGCCTACTCTCATCAGTTTCTTCATTTATACTAGGTGTTGATGAAGAAGTTTTTCTGAGATGAGGTAGATAGTAAATATTTTAGGTTTTGCAGGCCATAAAAGTTTCTGTCACATAGTCTTAGTGTTATTTTTTAACAACACTTTAAGAATGTAAAACCCATTATTTTGCTTACAAGCCTTATTTCCTCTAAGGACAGTAGTTTGCTAACCCCTAATTTAATACACTAAGCTCAATGACAGTACACAGTCTATTGGTTTGTTATACAAAATAAGAATACCTAAAACTTTGAAAAGGATATAAAGTAATTATTAAGAAATTGGATAATAAGAAAACTGAAACTGTTTTGTAATGGGACAGCCAATACTTCATATGTATGCAAGCATACACACTCACGTAATAAACAAGCCCACTAATACAATACTATATGATATGAAGTAAAATGGAGTCTCAGATGGCTTGCCCTGGACCTCACTTAATGAGGTGTATTAATTAAAATACCAAAATAACTTGGTTATATGTGGCCATAGTTACGAAAACATTTCCATAATCCTGAATCTATGGAAGAGCAAAGGTTTCATTGGTGTTGAGGGTCCACTACCTCATCTAGGAAAGGAAGGTGATGATATATGACTTCAGGAATACTAGGAGTCTTCAAAGATGTCTTTCAAGTGTTTTGTGGGCAAGTCAAAGGTAAACCACACAAAAACAAGTGCAGTAGAAGAGGAGAGGAACTTATTTTCCATTAAATGTGAGATACATATGATTAAATGTAATAACTAAATGTAACATAATCAATGTAATAATTAAATTGAGCCATTTTATTTAGAATTTTTCATCAAGCTATTTTCTAAATAAGAAGTATGGTACGAAGTACAGAATTTGATTTTTTTTTAAGTTATCTTCAGTCCTGACAATTTGAGGATCACTGCTCTAGAAAAATCTATAACACTATAAATTTTTACAAAGGAGACTATAATCATACCACATCTGATATGGTTTGGCTCTGTTCCCACCCAAATCTCATCTTGAATTGTAGCTCCCATAATTTCCACATTGTGGGAGGGAATAATTGAATAATTGACCCAGTGGGAGATAACTGAATCATGGGGGCCATTTCCCCCATAACATTCTCTCATAGTAGTGAATAAGTCTCACAAGATCTGATGGTTTTATAAGGGGTTTCCCCTTTCACTTGACTCCCATTCTCTCTTGTCTGCTGCCATGTAAGCCATGCCTTTCACCTTCTGCAATGATTGTGAGGCCTCTCCAGCCACGTGGAACTGTGAATCCATTAAACCTCTGTCTCTTAATAAAGTACCCAATCTTAGGTATGTCTTTACCGGCACCATGAGAACAGACTAATATAATATCATTAAAAGAATATTTGTTCTCCCCTGGAAAGATAAAATATAATTAGAGGTCCATCTACAATTTTATTCTTTTAAGAATATGGAAAAAAAGAAAGCCTAAATAAAATGCTACTTTGGAAGCCATGGAGGACATCAAAGATTCTAGAGATCCTTAAAGAAAAGGCAGACCCAACCAGAAACAAACTTCAAAGGGTCAAATAAATGGAGCCTATTTCTTTTTCTTGCTACTTCTCTTCATGAACCCTGTAATGAAAAGAACACAAGTCACTCTTGGAAAGAGATGAGGGCAGTGTATGGCAGTTTAATCTTCTGAATGTCTCACAGCCTCAGTGACTCTTAACTGAAATAGTAAAGTGTATGCAAACATATTAATTCCAATCTGTTATCTATTTAATCACTGCTATAGGAATATGGCTTAAATTCTCTGAAGACATTAATATTTAACTCCAAGTATAAGCCTTTTACCACCTAAATTCAAATGGGCCTCAACAGACTGCTCATTCCTTTTTTTTTTTTTTTTTGAGATAGGGTCTCACACTGTCACCAGGCTGGAGTGCAGAGGCACACTCTCAGCTCAATGCAACCTCTGCCTCCTGCGTTTAAGCCATTCTCCTGCCTCAGCCTCCCAAGTAGCTGGGACTACAGGCACGTGCCACCATGCCCACCTAATTTTTGTATTTTTATAGAGATGGGGTTTCACCATGTTGGCCAGGATGGTCTCGATCTCTTGACCTCGTGATCTGCCCGCTTCAGCCCCACAAAGTGCTGGGATTATAGGCATGAGCCACGACACCCGGTCCAGACTACACATTCTAAAGCTATGATGTTGTATAGAAGACAGCATGATAAGCATAAGGCAAGAGTACTGGTCTGAGAGTCAAGAGGCCTAAGTTTTAATCCCAGCTCCACCCTCCACTTTCTCAACTATATGTCCACCCCTCAGTTAAATGATATCTAAAGCTTACTTCCTACTTTTAGTCTATAACTTCATGTACCATAAACAATTCCTTATATTCATGTAGTAATTTAGTGTCCAGTAAGTACAATTAGGTCCTCTAGAATCTTACAATCTAATGGGTTTAAAAAGGCATGCAATACTATGCCCTGCTTAAAAATGAAGAAAGCCAAGGTGAAAGGATACTACTGCTTATGTCCAGAAAAGCTAAGCGTTAAACTGAGTTCTCCTAATTCATAACCCAGGAAATCTCATGATCCTCACATTTATCATCTCATTTAATTATTGTCAACAGATAATGAAAAGACTTGTCAATAAGGTCTAATAAAATAAAAATGGTTTATAGCACATAATCAAAATACTTTATAAAACAGGTAAGGGTGGGAAGAGAAGCACGAGGGCTGTATTTTTAAGTTTCTATTAACCACTTACTAGCTTACGTCAATGGACACATCATGCTACAACCTCTCAAAACTTTAGTTTTCTGACCTATCTCAGGACTTCTAGGGAATTAAATATAATCATGACTACAAGTATGCTTAGGAAACTGAGACACTTGTACAGTGTTATTATTAATATATAACTACAACCTCATTTAGTTCAAAAAACAAAATAAATAGAAATTCAAACCACAGGCAATAGACCAAAATAGAAAGCTAGCAGGTCCTATCATATGTACATTTAACATCGATATAAAACATGACTGAACAATTACAGCCTTAGGCAATTATTAGCAAATATTAATATAATACACGGACATGTCAATATATTTACATTTGAATAATAGTAAGTTTTAGGTCACCTGAGTGGCATAGGATACTGTCTGAATGCCTTCATGTCTCAGCAAAGTATGACTGGCTTTAACCTGTTTCCTTAAGAACTTCTTCTCAGTTTTACTGAGCTTGTAATTACTATGATGGTTGCTGTCCATAGCAAACTGTAAAAAAAACAGTAAAAAATGTCAACGTTAAGAATCCTGAAGGAACAATTATAATGATGTTATTCATGTATTCTAGAGTATATAAATATTTCTATGTGACAATTTTTTAAAATGCTTCGTTTACCTTGTACCAACCAAGAGAAGTGAGAAAAGATACACAAGAAAATGAAGGAATATCTAAGAACATCTAGTGACATATCTCTGATGGTTCTAAAAAATATTCCAATGTGGTAGCTCCATTAAGTGTCCTATTTTACTCATAGGTGATGAATCCCTTTACTCATGAAGTCTTAAGTAAAATGTGCCATACACAAATTTCACAATCATAATGTAAAGCAAGGCAAAGAGGAGGCAGGGGAGGAACAAGGGGAGAAATAAAAAAATTAGAAGAATATACCGTATGATTCTCATTTACATATAGGTCAAAATCAAAAAGTAAGCCATATATTATTTAGAAATACATACACAGAAGAGCTAAAACAAAAGCAAGGAAATTAAAAACACAAATTTCAGGAGAGAGACTATTTCTGTGGTGAGAGGAAAGGAAACTGACATGAAAGTGACACACAGGAACATCAAAGATTTCTTAAGCTACATGGTAGATGTAGGTGTTTGTTTTACGTTTTTTAAAAAATAGTAAACGTGTATAAAATATATGTACATGCCATATGTTTTATATCTATAATCTTTTAAATAACAGAAATAAAAGCCCCATAAAATTGTGCTTTCTCTTTGTTGAAATATGTCAATCAGCAAGTGGTTACTAAGCATTTTCCCAAAGAGATCGCTCTAATCACACCATCCAAATCAGCACCCCATATCTCGCTTTATCACACTTTATCATAGTAGTCTTTTGTTCACAAAATTTAACATAATTTGTGATGATTCATCTATTAGTTTAACTCCATCATGATATAAATCCCAAGACAGCAGGAATCCCAGCATATAGTAGTTGCTCAATAAATAATTGATGGTAGAGCTAAATGAATAATAAATGAGTGAATACACACAGTCTCAGCATCCTGCAGCATGCAATCATAATAAAGTATACAGTTTATGCTTTCAACAAGTTTGTAACTTAGTTGTGGAAAACAAACACTAACCAATATAAAGATGACACATCTTTATATAAATTAGTGCTGATGGCACAGTCTTTAGGTGTGACATGAATTAGAGACAAAAATAAGATGGATGTGGGCTGGGAGCAGTGACTCACACCTGTAATCTTTGGGAGGCCAAGACTGGGGGATCACTTGCGGTCGGGGGGTCAACACCAGCCTGGCCAACATGGTGAAACCCTGTCTCTACTTAAAATACAAAAAATTAGCCAGGTATGGTGGTGGGCACCTGTAGTCCCAGGTACTTGGGAGGCTGAGGTAAGAGAATTGCTTGAACCCAAGAGGCAGAGGTTGCAGTGAGCCAAGACTGTGCCACTGCCCTCCAGCCTGGGGGCAACAGAATGAGACTCCGTCTCAAAAAAAAGATGGATGTGAACTAGAAAAGTTGGGAAGACCTCAAAACCGGAGATTTGTACCGTGTACTGAAAGATAAGAACACTATAGAGTCAAATAAAAGGAAGGTATTCAGTGAAGCAGTAAAGAGCAGAAGCTAAAACCAAATGGACATGTCTGGCCAAGATAATAATATGTAGGCATAATTTTTTTAGAGCAGAGAGAGTTGGCTGATCCTCCAGTCCCACTCTCTGCAGACTTTAAAGTCTTCAAAGTTAACCAAATAAATAAATGTGGGGGTTAAATAAAATCTTATTTATCTTATTTCAAATAAAATCATAAACAGTCAAAATTCTAATTACTAATCTCTAGTATAGAAGACAAATGCCAAGTCTATTGAAATGCCAGCATTCCAGCTTTCTAGCACAGGGGGTACATATTATAGGAGGTAAGGCCAGTGAGGCAGGCTGGCTGACAGCATAGCAGAGAGATGAGAGATAAGAAAACATAAAATAATCCAGCTTGTCAATTAGAAACGCTGGACCTAGGCTGGAGGCAATAGAAAGACGGGAAATAGGGGGAGAGGGGAAAGAGGAAGGGTGAGAAAAAAGTTCAGGCAGAATCCAGAGGCCTTGATGACTACCCAGACATGACGGAGACGGGAATCAAAGATCACTTACTAACCGGTTAGAGGCTGAGTGACTAAGAGATGAGTGCTACCACGTCAAAACTGGACAGTCAGTAGGAAGTTCAGGAAGAGCTGCTCAGTATAGGAGGTAATGAGTCAGATTTAGGATATAATATGGCTAAGGTACTGGTGAGATATAGGGTTGCAATGTCTGGCTGGCAAGTGACAATATAAAGTGGCTCCTAGGAAAGGAACTGAAGTTAAAAAGGTTTAGGAGTCAGTAATCATTAAGACAGGAAAGGGGTAAGTGAATGGACATTTCTAATATTGCATTAATTATAATTATTTGTTCTAATATCTGTCCCCTTCCACTCAACTGTGAGCTTTCTGAAGACAGGGATTAAATCATACTTTTCTTAGTTACCACAGAGCCTCGCTCAGTGCTATGAGTAATATAATACAATGTTTAGTAGGAGTTCATGCTCCAGTTTCAAATCTTAGCTCAACCACTGATTACTAGCTGTATAATCTTTGATGAGTTGGTTATATGTCTCCGTGCTCCAGTTTTTTTTATCTAGGAATAGGAATAAAAATAATAGTGCCTATCCCATAGCATTTTTTGAATTAAATTTATTATTATTTATTACTGTTAATTTTCAGAAGCAGCAGATCAAAATGGCTTAACAAAACAATAGCTGAGGGCCTGCAAAGGAGTTATTTTACAGCCATTCCATTTCAAGATCTTCATCTGTGGAACAGAAACTTTGCAGTATGTCATGAAGAACAAGGGATGAGTACACTACAGAATTCTTTTTAATATGGCTAGTATCATAGTTAATAGTGATTCTTTTTAATATTTCACATGAGCAAACACTGCAAAGTGGAAGACATGAGAAAGAAACCATGCTAAATACATCTTTTTAAAAAGTCTGCCACTAAGAGTCCAGCACCAGCAGGTGGAGCCTCATAACCACATTTTTGTCATCCCCTTTCCTTTCTCCCTCAGTCATGCAGTACTATTGCCCCTGAAGAAAGACACTAAATGGCCTTTGAGGCTCAGTTCTCCTCCATTCCAGTGGCTAGGCAATGTGCTGGCCCAGCGTATCTGACTCATCTCAACAAAGACAGGTTGATACCAGCTGCTGAGGTCTGGAGGTGTCCCCTTCTGTCAAGGCCACTTCCCTGGCCAGAGTTGCCACTATTGCACAGATACTTGGATGTTTCTTGTGATGTTATTGGAGTGAAGTCACTATTAACTATGATACTAGTCCAGTCCAGCACCTCCAGCCTAAGCATACTCTCTGTGGGATAATGAAAGTTTGGAGATTATGCATGCTCTGCTACTTGCTTATTAGTGAGTTTAAAGCCAATATATCCTACTAGATATTGCCCTAAGTGGTAATAGTAATAAGTATGTCATGCCCTTATTGAATAATAGAGAACCTATTATGAACCAAGCAGTATAGACAAATGTTCTTGTATATTAAAAAAAACAAAGGCAAAAACCGCAATTACTTTTCCACCAACCTAGTAACAGGAAAAATTAAAAAGAATCTAAATTCCTATCAAATGAGGCCCGATTTTAAAGTACAGCACAGGTATACAGAGTTTACATATAAATCTTTAAGACACACAAGAAATTGGTGATATGGGTTGCCTCCAGGGAAGAAAAAGTGATCCTCCCTTTCATTCAGAGAAAATGAGCTTTCCTCTTTTGTGATTTTGGATTTAGTAGCTAAACTGCATTACCTATTTAAAAAAAAATAAAGATTTAACATGATTAGAAAAAATTCACTCCACTTGTCACAGCACCCCGTTTTAACTCTTTAAATAACACTAACTACATATTTTCTTACACTCTCATTATTTTTATTATGTCTTTCCCCATAACTTAATAAAGTACACTCACTCCATGAAGTAGAGATTTTGTCTCTATTATTCACCCTGTAGCACCCAGCACTTAAACAGGAATTAGCGCCTAGCAGCCACTCAACAAACATTTGTCAAATAAACCAAAATCGACTTTGCTGTCTTAGCTCCTAAACCTCTCCTCCTCCAGAATTCTGAGTTTGGTGGCCTTCCTCAACGTTTTCATTAACACCTACCACAGACCTCTATCTCTATAGAGTTCTCACATTGTATTACAATTGCCTATTTGTGTTGGGCTTCCGCCAGAAAACTGTCACCGAATTTCGGGGCACAGAGTTGGTGCCTGACATACACCTGACAACAAATATTCAATGAAATCAATCAAAATAACAGGCTGACGCTACCAGAGGCCCAGGAGTCGCAGGGATTACTCAAATAAGAGCACAAGAAGACTCAGCTGCGCAAGGGATCAGACGATGAGCACAGACTTTGGGTCAGAAAAGCCCTAGAAGAGGCAAAGGAACACGCCCCAAGTTGAAACCGTCCTCTCCAACCCCAAAGAAAACAGAAGATTGACACAGACACCAAGTGAGCACCCGAACCGAACACAAACACGTGCACCCTAAACACTGAAAGAACCACCAAACGCAGACACCTTACTGCCTACAGACTGCACCAAGGGCGCCTCTGGGGTCCATCCCCATTCCCCAGGTTCTCAGCCCTAGCAAGAACGGCGGATAGAGAAGACCGGAAGGAGCTGACAAGAGGAAGCGGGGATTTGAACCCCCATACCCGCCAGCAAGAAGTGCCACGCACCTCCGCTTCGGCTCAGGCCGGGTTCTCACCACGTGGTGCCTTCTTCTGCGCCAGCCTCTCCACTCTAGCGCCAGAAAGCCGCAGCGGATACCTGTACTCTGTCTCCCCCGGGCGCGGCCATGTTGGAGAAAACTGCACTACATTTCCCATGAGCCAGCGGGACTACGAACAGAGCTCCCACAGTCCTCTTCGCCTCCCAGAGCCCGGCAGTGACCCTTTCTCGACCAAGTGTCTTTGTAAAGTGCTCTCTGTTGCACTGAAAATTCCGTTTTCTTCTTAGGGGAAATAGTAATAATTGGTAGTGCAGCTGCATTTTTATCTGTTTCTCTCCAAATGGATAAGTTCAAACAGGTTGGGGCCCTTCCATCATTCAATAATGGCCTCTGGCACCTTGGATTCTTTGTGCATATTTCCTCCTGAATCTTATTAGAGGTGTGAAAGGAAAATAAATCTTGGTGCCACAAAATCACTAAGCTAAAGGGAAAAGTCAGGCTAGGAACTGCTTGGGCAAACCTGCCTCCCATTCTATTCAAAGTCATCCCTCTGCTCACTGAGATAAATGCATATCTGATTGCCTCCTTCGGAAAGGTTAATCAGCAACTGGAAAGAATGCAAACATTTGTCCCTTATTTATAATACCTATGACCTGGGATCCCCCTCCCCAGTTCGAGTTGTCCCCCCTTTGCTTAAATTTGTCCCCTCTTTCTGGACTGAACCAATGTTTATCTTACATATGTTGATGTCTCATGTCTTGTAAAATGTATAAAACCAAGCTGTGCTCCTATCACCTTGAACACAGGTCGTCAGGACCTCCTGAGGCTGTGTCACGGGTGGGCGTCCTTAACTCTGGCAAAGTAAACTTCCTAAATTGTCTGAGACATGTCTCAGATATTCAGGGTTCACAGATATGAGAGAGGATCCTGGGGTCTGAAAGATGACATTGTATGGGCGAGAGGAAAGGAGGTGAATATGCATGCACGTGCCAGGGGAATGGTGAGTACCACAGAGTAATAGAAAGATGTGTGGAAGAACGTTGAAGGAAGCAAGACAGAATTCTGTAGGCCTACAGAGTGGGAGTTGGGGGAAGGAAGGTTAGAAAAATGAAGTGATAAGACCAGAGCTTCTTGTGGTAAGTGGGAGGAGAGACTAGGAGATGACTGTTGAAGTGAAAAGTAACGAAATATTAACGAACCCAGTGGTGGCAGAGGGAAAGAAAAAAGAGTTGGTAACAGATCAGAAGGAAAAGACACAGGAGAGGATGATGATTAGCAGTTGTTCCTGCTCTGTTACTTGTTATTTAAATGTATTATAATCATTCTACCTGCATTGGTTTATAAGCTGTGTGAGTGCGGGGAAGGAAATGTGTAGGGGGAGAGGAATCGCTTTCTCGTGGCACGATGGCTAGTGAGAGTACCCTTCCTGCAGTCCAGGAAGTAAAAATTGTGTTGCTGAAAGATCCTTTGTCTTAGTGCTAATTTTTCTTTGCAGGCACCTAGCATTTGTTTCCAACAATCACCTTTCCATGTTGTTGATACAGCGCCCCCTATCTGCAGGGCACCACAGTGGACCATCAATAAAATAGCTGGCTGGCCGGGAAAAGTAGCAGTGAAAAGAGGGTGTTGTTGAGTAGGGGAATGATTTGCGTGGAGAATAGGTTACAAGGATGAAAGAACAGAAGTTAAGAGGCAAATAGGCAAGCATTGCAATAGCCTAGGAAAGAAAGGGTGAGACCAAAACTTAATAGAAAAATGAGGAGGCAAATGCAAGCTGGAGAGGTCAAATCAACCAGATATTGGAAGCTGCTTGGGTGTAAGAGGATACACATGGAATCTCTTCCATTGCAATTCTGCTTCTGCACTACTGGATGCTTTCAAAAACACATCCCCATAGAGCTTTCTGCAATGATGGAAATATTTTATGGTCTGAGCTGTCCAACAGAGTAGATACTAGCAACATGTGGCTTTTGAGTATTTCAAATGTGGTTAGTACAGCTAAGGAACTGAATTTTGAATGTTTAAATTTTAGTTTCAATTAAACTTAAGTAGCCACAAGTGGCTGGTGTCTGCCAAACTGGACAACAGTGTAAAATAGGCTCTTATCTCTTACTGCTCAAATTCAATTACTTCATTTCAGTATTTGTCCTGCTTTAAGGCACTGAAGCTTTTAAAAAAATTTTTCCACGCTTCTCTTTCAATTCTCTTTATGCATTCTGATCACTTACTTTCAGAATTTTCCACTAGCTTCCCCCCTCTGTCCATAATTAAACATAGGCAATCCCTCAGATTTTGAATTTGACTCTTTTCTCTTATTCTAGTCTCTTCCTGCCTGCCCTCTCCAGAGTTATAAAGAGATTTGTGAATCATTCTCTAATCTTTATCTTCAACCCTGGCTTCTGTTAAAAGAAAAACTTTAGCCAAATTAAATTTAAAGGAGTTTAACTGAACAATGAACAATTCGCAAATCAGGCAGCCCCAGAATCACAGCAGATTCAGAGACTCCAGCATAGCCATGTTGTGGAAGAAGATTTGTAGACAAAAAAAAAGGGGAAATGACATACAGAAATCAGAAGTGAGGTACAGAAACAGCTGTTATTGGTTACAGGTTAGCATTTGCCTTATTTGAACACAGTTCAAACAATTGGCTACATTTGATTGGCCAAAACTCAGTGATTGGCACAGGTGCGGACTATGGTCAATGTACTCCTCTACTTGTTAAAATTTCCGATGTACAGAAAAACCATTAGGTTGAACTTAAATATGTAAGGAGGCAGCTTTAGGCTAAATTTGATCAATCCTTCCCTTTAAAAACCACTTTGGTTTAGTGAAAAGAATGTGGGGGTATTGGTGGAGTATGACCTGGAACCAAAACTATAAAACAGCATTTATTTGTTGAGATTGACATGATAATTAATAAAACACAGACATTAGCCATTAAGTGATTATTCATTTCTCTTCTGCTCCTGAGTTGAAGCCCACATTTCCCACTGCCTGCTGTCCACCCCGGTCTCCGTATCTCTAGAAAAAGGTGAATACATATAAAATTTTGTGTGCAATCCTTTGTTTACAGACCCTCATCTTCTCTTGGAATATTGCATAGACCATTTCTCCTAGAGAAAATGATTCCCCAAAAGACTTTCAGGTACACTGAGACCTTGTTTTATTTATTATGTAACCACAATATATTCCATAGTCTTGTAATACTAGAAATTTAATAAATGTTGAGCTGAAAAGGGATTTTCATTTGAAAATATAATTCATCTTCACCTGTGCCAAACACTTTACATGGTGATCTATAATGATTTTTCAAAGGTATGAAATGCTGACCTGTTTCCTTACTAAAACCTTAGTCTCAACTTCATGAGAAGTGAGTCCTCTGTGTGACTAGTACTAGGAGCAGCAAGATTTTACTATAAAGGACCAGATAATAAATATTTTCCACTTTGTGGCCAAATATTCTTTATTTATTTATTTTAATTTTAATTTTTTTGATACGGAGTCTCACTCTGTCTCCCAGGCTGGAGTGCAGTGGCACGATCTCAGCTCACTGCAACCTCTGACTCCTGGATTCAAGCAATTCTTCTGCCTCAGCCTCCTGAGTAGATGGGATTACAGGCATGTGCCACCACACCCAACTAATTTTTTGTATTTTTAGTAGGGACAGCATTTCACCACGTTGGCCAGGCTGGTCTTGAACTCCGCCTCAAGTGATCCGCCCGCCTTGGCCTTCCAAAGTGCTGGGATTACAGGCATGAGTCACCGTATCCAGCCTGTTTTTATTTTTTAACAATCCTTTAAAAATGTAAAAACCTTTCTCACCTCCCCCTGCTTATGCTGGCAGGATTTGGCCAAGGAGCTATAGTTTTCCACCCTCTGTACCCTCCCTGAACTGCGTAACTGAAAGCGCCATCTCAAAGTAAAGGCAAGATTAGCCCACCAATGAAGACATTTCAGATGAATTATAACAGACTATAAATGAAATATAAGTGAATTTAATTAGCTTAACCAACACTGCATTTTAAGGATTGAAAAATAAAGTTCTGGAAATGAAGGCTAGGAGTAACATGTTGAAATAGGAAAAGTTCTCTTGTCCCCTCCGCAGGGCGTGCAATGGGGGAGTGATTTCCTTCTTCGCTGCCCTGCTGCTCCAACCTCTAGGGGAGCATGCACAAGGGCAGGCTGTGGGGCTGTGACCCCCATGGCAGTGTCTAAGGGTGAATGTTTACAGCTCCTGAAGCCCCAGTGGGCGTGTGTTACAGCATGCTCTTATAGTTTAGTTGGCCATTACTTGGCTTGTGTTAGTCAGCAAAGTGAGACCCCCTTCCTCATCACAAGGACAGAAGGCTTTCTGTATCCCATGGTTTCTTGCTTTGGTGTACCAGAAGAATTAGATCACATGTGGGCTTGGAGAATGAATATAAGGTTTTATACAGTGGAAGTAGCTGTCAGCAGATGGGGGATCCAGTGGAAGATGGTTTTTCCCTGGAGTCCCACTGCTCAGTGGCTTGGACTCTCCTCCGAGCACCTGGCCAAACTCCACCTTGTTCTGCTGGTGGAAGGCCTAACGACCTGCCAGTGTCTGTTGGTATGCTCTTCCACCAGCGTGTTCCCCTCGATGTCTAGCGGCTTGTGTGTCTGCCTGCTAGGGTCTCAGGGTATGTATACACACAGGATGGGAGCATGGCAGGCCAGGGTAGTCTTGGGAAATGCAACATTTGGACGCAAAGGCAGGAGTTCCTGTCCTCACCTAGGTCCGTGGACACAGTTCAGGGAGTGGAGCCCTTGCCCGGGACCCACCCTTCTCCTCCCAGCATTTCCCTGTCCCCCTTCTGTATCAATGTCATTTAGAATTGCTTTTAGTTGCCAGTCACAGAAAACTGGTCTGATTGCTTAAACAAATAGGTACCTTTCCTCACATGACAAGCCGGCCAGACAAAGCAATCGCTGGTACTGTTTCTGCAGCTCAAAAATGTTTCAAAGAACCCAGGTGCCTTCCCTTCTCCTGGCTCGCCATCCTTGATGTATTGACTTGTTATTCTCATTCCTGATATCTGCTTGTTACAAAGTAGCTGCCACAGCTCCAAACATCTTGTCCTCATACTGGCATCTCTAATTTGGAGGGGAAAAAGCA